TCGATAATCGATGAATTTCAAGAACACTAAAATTCGATAACTCAACAAAATTCGTTAACTCGACCAATTTCGATAATTGTGAAATTCGAGGGCTCGATAAATTTCGATAACTCAAAAATGTAAAAACTTTGGATACCTTTATAAATTTTTACTTTTGACATCTCCACGTTTTTCGAAAACTATCTAAACATTTTGAAAACTCGTTACACTCTGTTAGGACGATCAAATTCGATAAGCATTGATAAATCGATAAGCTTATATAGCCTTGAAATTTTGATAAACCGATATATTTGGAAAATTCCATAAACTTGGCTACGTTGAAACAACCAATTTCAGTAGATCAATAATTATCGATAACTCTGTAAGTTGAAAGAACTCCATGCATTACGACACCTCGATAAATTTCGTTAAGTCTATAAATAATGATAATTCAATAAATATCGATAACTTGATACATTTCTTTAACTTGACAAATTTCATACGTTGCGATAACTTAATAAGCATGGATAAATTTCGATAATTATAAACTTCGATGATCCGATAAATTTCAGTAACCTTTATGGCTGATTTTATTTCGATCCCTATCGCAAAATTTCAACTCTGTTAACCTAATTCTTATGTATTTCTCATTGTCTCCATTTTCGCCTTTATCTCAATTTTCGTCTTTATCTTCACTTTTGCCTTTTTTTGTCTTCATCGTTATCACTTGTTTCTTCATCTTCATATTTATCTTTATTTCAAAGTTTAATTTCAAATACGAAGTAAAACAAAATGCGAAACAGCTTAAATTGTACAGGTTGCAAAAACAACCATACACAAATATGGAAATTTTTAAACGACGATTTTCAACCAATTTCGAAACTATAAAAACTCTCCTCATCTACAGAAAATTACCTTTCCAACGGTGTTTTTGGTTTTGAAATCGGTAACTTTACTTTTATCTTCATCTTTGTTTTTATCTTTCACATATTTGCTTATTTATATCCTTTTCTTTTTCTATTCACGTAGATGAGATGAGGTGCGATGACGTGATAAGATGTGACGTGATTTTATGTGATGTGATAGGATGTCATGTCATGTGTTGTCATATCCTCTGATGTCATGTCATATGATGCCATTCCATATGATGTCATATCATGTGATGCCACGTCATGAAATGCCATGTCATGTCATACGATGTCATGTCATGCCATATAATGTGATGTCATATCATATAATGTCATGTCACGTGATATCGTGTGATGTGATATCATATTATGTGATGTAATATCATGTGATGTCTCTTCATATCATGTGATATAATGTGATGTGATGTCATTTAATGTGATCACATTCCATGTTCCGATTATTATATGGATAACCCTGTTGATAACTGTGCCGATAAAAATACCGATAACGATATCCATAAACATATAGAAAAATACAACGATTGCAAAATCGATTAATTCATCGATAAATATAACAATCATCAGTATCGATTATTGTACATATCGTTAACAATATAAATGACTAAATCGATAACAAAATCAATTATTTAATCGATTATTATACCCATAACAATATCCATCGATAACAATATCGATTATTATATTGATTATTATATCGATTACAGTTATTTAATCAATAACAGTATCGATAACAATATCGATTTTTTTTATCGATAGCAATATCGATTATTATATCGATAAAAATATGGAGTTTTATATCGATAACAATATCGATCTTCATCCTCATCCTTTTCTTCATATTTATCTATATTTTTGCATATTCCTCTTCACCTTTACTCAAAGTGTTTAAATTTACTTTGATCTTCATTTTTGCCTGTACCTCTAGGCATCTTTGTTTTTGTTTTTATTCTCAAACCACTAAACTGCTGAGAACCATTTCCATGTGCTTTATTCCCCTTGAATTTGACAATTTACTCCCAACCAACCAACTGCCGCTAAAGAAGTTTCACTTCATAAATTCAAGAAATGTTCTTACCCTTTCAGTTACCCTAATTCTTATGTGTCTGTCATTGTCTCCATTTTCGTCTTTATCTTCACTTTTGCCTTCTTTTTTTTTGACTTCATCGTCCATCGTCATTATTTTTACATCTTCATATTTATCTTTATTTCAAAGCTTAATCTCAAATGTGAAGTGAAACAACATGCGAAACATGTCAAATTGAACTTGTTGCAGCAACATCTATACACAAATACGAAAATGTTTAAACGACGGTTTTGGCCGTAATTTTCAACCAATTTTTTGAAATCGGTTCGATAGAATCGCCAAACGAACGGAGACAAAATTTATGTTAGCGTATTAATATATAGATGTACCAAGGAAGGCAATGTAAAAAGCAATGCCATAGTATGCCTCGGCGTCTCCCGTTTTCACATTAAAACGAATAATTTTGCGACTGCTGTATCGCGATACTTTGATTTCTGTACCTTCTTTCTTCTTCTACGTGTTCGAAAAGCAAATGAAAGTTTTTTTCTGTTGCATTTCTTAAATTTTCTATATATATTAGCATGATTGTATTTCGCTAGTGAGTGAGTGAAAAAGGAGAGTGTTTGTATTTTTTGTCACCCTTTTCCATTCTGTGAAGAATGGCTGAAATTTGACAATGGCCCGCTAAAAGCAAAAACAAAAAACCAGTAATTGTTGTATTTGTTGAATCGATACCACCTTATATGAATTCGCCTTGTTCGAAACTCTTTTTAATACAATTTTTCATTTTACCAACTCTACAATACCTGGCGCTGCTCTTGATGCCTTGTTTCGCTTACCATCACTTTGCCACTTCATACATTGGTAAGCCTCAAAGGCCACCTACAGGCTTAAAAGAAATCGATGTTGGTATGATACTGAGTGAGACGAGGCGGAGATTGCTGGGCGCGGATCAAGCCACAAACGTCTTTTCAAGCCCCATGATGGAAGGCAATTTACCTTTGCTGAGGAGATTCTACAGGTGGAGTTCCCAGCGGCTGAATTCTGGAGTAATTCCAACACTGATCATAAGCTTCATTTGCCTCGTTATTCGAAGTCGAGGTATTTCCAATCCTCAAGGCCATGGACTAATTGGTGGAAAATAGGTGAGGGATGTATGAGTTTACGTGTCTGTAGTGACAGGCAAGCTGCACTCAAGGAATTGGCCAGCCCTCAAACTACTTCCAGACTGGTTCGGCAATGCAAGTCTCGACTAAATTATGTTGGCTACCTTAACGAATTTGTCTTCCTCTGGCTGTCAGATCATACGGGTGTACTGGTAATGGGGCAACTGACCTTTCGACCCAGTCTAGGTAACCCTCGGTCTGCGATCAGTTTTAGCACTCCCATTTTCCGAAACTGGGTGAATATTTCGCTCAGTAATGACTGGGAGGCTTCGAGAGGATGTGGCTGGCCGAAAGTCATGTCGCCCTTAATCTCTGAGGGTCGTATAAGGCATTTGCTTTCATATAACAGGTTGGACTGCAGACAACTTGTGGCACTGTTGACTAGACACTTTAGGTTAGGTTAGTTTGTTGTGGCAGTCGGTGCAAGTAACAAACTCACTTAGACCTTGAAGATCCGTTGTACCTCAGCGACTATTTTCATAGAACCATTTTGAAGCTCTTATAAAGCGTAGAATTGGCTTTATTCCTACAGGATACTCGTGAAGGATATGTTCCGCTGCTTCTTCTTTCGTTCCGCATTCTAACTAATTATTGGCTAGAGACAGTTTACGGACGTGCGATGCCAACAGTCCTCGCTCTTGAGGGATAGGAGAAACCTCGTTAGCTTGTTATCATACGTTCTATGCTCGAGATTTTAGACACTTTGTGACTTTATGTTTTGGTCCACTCCTTCTGCACCTTCCGTATCATGTACAGGTTGAGCCTCCGTTTAATAGCTTGCAGGGAAATCGGTACTTACTCCATCAGCGTAGTTTCCAACTAGGCGCATTCTTTGGCAAACCTTTCATCCTCCTTATTGCTCGTGATACCAGTACGCCTGTGCTAATGTGTACTAAAGCTAAGTGATTTACACTCTGTCACACTTCTTGATAAAGTGCTGTGCACTATTAGCGCCTTTATCGCAGCCCAACTACCGAAATATACATGCATAAATTCGGATGAATTTCTTAATTTTTTTTATGTATTTGTTCGGTTGCTTTTCAGTAGCTCCGCTGTCCTTTTTGTGTGAAAAATTACACCGAAGATGGCACAACGCCGAAACCGGTTTGTCTCCAAACCAAATTTGACAAGGGATGACGGAAAATCGTTCCACGTTACATCACACTCCTACCCTATCGGAAACACCAACAACGAAAATGGGAATTGTAAGAACACCCCTAAGGACCGAACTCTAGATCTATCGAGTCCACGACGGACGTACATAGTTGCATTGATCTTCCTTGATATGGATCGTGTATGCAAATACTGTTCTGCATAATCAAAATTATAATGTAGGCACGTAGGCATGTCGGAGCTTCGACACTATATCCAAGCCACCACATAATTGCTTTACGGCCATGAACATGAAAGTTATTCAAGCGAAAAATTTCGATAACAACTCAGTTGCAACAAGTAGACGAGCAGACCAAAGATACCAATGTACATATTTCATAAATGAAATGCTATATATTTATGTTGCACATATATAGTTTCTTTTACTATCGTTCACAAGCGCTTACATAATATCCTACCTAAAACAAAAAGTCGACAAAATCAACTTTCTGGCTACCACAATCACCTCGTGCCATTATTATCGGTATTTATTTCACATCCGACTGGCAAAATATTATATCCGACTATAAAGTTACAACAAACCACAACTTGACTGCTGAAAGCGTCACCTAACAACGGGCTACCAGATCAACCGGCCAGTTAGCCATTAGCAGCAAATAGTAACCAACAACCATCAGCAGCCACCAATTTTGGTCATACTAGTTACCTGATTCGGCGGCTAATACACACTGCACTCGAATCGATGCTTTGTACCACTTAATGTATGTATGTATGCATGCATGTACTTACGTGTCGCGTAATAGTTGTAACACTTCCTGCTCCTTCTTGTTAAGTCCATCGTAGTATGCGGCCAGATTGATATCCAATAGTTGGCGCGTTTGCATTCCGGTCAGGAAGGTGCTTACACCATCCAACTGCATAAAGTAGTGCATGGCCAACTTGCCGAGTTCGACGTTAGCCTCTTTGCAAATGTTTGCAGCCTTCCGGCATATCTCTTTTATTTCCTCGCCGGCTGGATGCCACGCCTGTGGACCGGCATTCGTCAGAAGGCCAAGTGCATGTCCGGAAGCGCACACAATGCCCAAATTCTGTTGCTGGAAGAAGTCCAAATACGATTTGAGCGAGTCGTCTAGTAGTGAGTAGCGCGTATAAGTCAACACCGACTGTGTGTGTGTGGGTAGTGGGTAACCAAAAAATTGAAACATAAATAATTGATTACATATATCAATAAATTATGCAAGTGGAAGTAATCAAATGTTGTGGGAACATGGTTGTAATTACATGAAAACGGTCTGGTGCACGTTCAATGCATTCCTTTAGGCGCGCCAATGGGTATCCGGTTACACCGATAAATTTCGCTTTTCCTTCTTTTACGATTTTCTCCAACTCGGGCAGACATTCGTTGATGACAATGTCAAGATCTTTCGCGAATTCGATGTCATGAATCTGAAACAGGATATGTTATGAGTTTAGCTGAAGGTTGAGGAAGTGTGAAGCCATCGAAAATTGAGATGAAACCCAGACAATATATATACTACATACATATGTATGAGAGTGAATCTTTGGCGAAGACAGTTATGGTCTTAAACCAATTAATGTCCAACAACGTTGGTCGTTTTAGGGGCATACATTCATATGTATGTGGTTTGTAGTGGATACTAAACATTATTTTAATATTCGTAAAGGCGCTCCTGGAGATTGTCCAGTTATAAGCTTGGTCCTAGTCTCAAATAGTGCTATTGCTGTCCCGCCCTTCAATTTCATCAGCGTTCGATTTCATACTAATCAATTTATTCAGGGCCCGAGCACAGTAGTCTGCAATACTGAACGCCAGGATAAAAGAATTCATCAGGCTACATGGAAAAGCAGAAGCCAAATTGATCGTATTGTGATAGACGATAGGCTCGCTTTCAGTCTTCTAGACGTACGTGCGGTTCAAGTAATAAACATTGACTCGGATCACTATCTTGTTGCAACCAAACTACGCATTGCCCTCTTTGTGCCTAACAATACAAGAAGGGTCGACACCTCATAAATACAAGAAATACATCTTCCGCACTCGAATCTCATGCCTTCTCTCTGAGAGCACGTTGCAATAAACCGATAATTGTATGCTTGTTGAGGGACCAAGTTTCCAGCACACTAAGTACCGCCTCCGAAACCACAACTGGTACGATGAGGAATGTGTCAAATTTAGTCAGAAAGAAGAAAGTTGCAGAGTTGATTTTTTGCAAATAAAGACGAAATTGGTTTTTTTCTACAAAATTTCGATTTTATCCGAATTTTAGCACAATAAAGTTCCATTTCAAAAATTGGAAATTTTAGAGCTAAAATTCCATTAAAATTCGAATTTCGAAGCTCCGAATATCGAATTTACCCATCCCTACCAGTTACACTTAAGCAGGATACAGCGAATACACAGAAGCGCGAATTCCACTATTATAATTTGAAATACATAGATACTAAATCAGCCCCTGAGCTAAATATAATACTTTTGTCCAAAGACAAACAAGTTCAGTATTCAAAGGGGGAATTAAAACTAGCTCGACGAATGTGACCCCTCTAATATTTTTCAAATCGTCTGAACTAATTAGTAATAGAAATTAAGTTCATACCCCGTTATAGGTACAAAGATGGCTATAATACTTTAACTCAAACTTTGTGTGCCACTTCCCAATGGATATAAGCTCTCTCCAATTTTTCACTATTTATTCAGCCGTTCGAAAGTACGGTAGTAAATATGACTAACTTGTATGGTAGCCGACGCTTTTTTAATATTAAGGATTTTTTAGGGGGCCCCTTGCATTTTTGGCGTTTTTTGCCGGACCTATAAGTTATAGTTACTATGAAAAATGATTTAATAAACAATTGCGTATTATTATAGGGAATTTCCTGCAGAGACAGCAGAGTTTTCTGATCGAAAAATATAAGGCCTTATGCATAAAAGTAAGCTTAATTAAGCTCACACTCAACTTTTGCACTGGCGGAGTGAGCTTAGGCTCAAAAGTTTGTGCTGAAAATCGAGCCGGAGCTTAAGCTCAGTTTTTTTGCATGAAGCCCACTGATTTTTAAGAATTTTACACCATTTCTACGAAAAGTTCGGTTTTTCCCATATAAAATACAAAGGAGCGTACTCTAAATATTTTTTGATTTAACTATCCTAGGGGGTGAGGGTATAAAAATTCCGACTTTACTTTTTCTCATACATTTTTGGACCACCACAATGCATAAGTTCTCGCGCATAATATGGTCGGATGAACGCATGCCTGACTCCTACCTTAAAATCAGCCTTATCAGAAATATTAAATGAGAGGCAAAAGCCGAACAGATCAGGCATCCACCATTCGTATATTGGAAAACTCCCGCGAGAGGAGGAATTCGGCATCCCAGCGATAATAACGCGGCTGTGTTAAATAATATCAGGCAGGGCGATGACCTATCGCATAATAACAACGGTCTGTCGATCGACAGTCTTTGCAATACATAAATTAGCAGACTGGACATAAAATCAAGGTCTGTAGTGACAGCCAATCTACTAAAGCTAAAACCATTGGAAACAGCATGCATCAAAAATAATCCAGTAGTATAGGTTAAGGCTGAACTCCGATCCAGGGTGGAATGGGCTTGAACAATTGTCTTTCCCTAAACTTTAAGTCCTCTCTCTAGATCTTAGGTACAATGAGCAATATTTTCTGAGTGTTTGGAAAAATAATTTTTGGTTTTTCCGGCCATCCACAATTTCAAAGTCCTCTTGCATCGTACAGAAACCCTACTCAATAAGTCACTCATTATTCCCGTGCTGGTATATGACGCAGAAGCATGGACAATGGAAACATCCAATCATGCTGTCAGTCATTTGATTATCAGAGAGTAAGATTTCGCAAAATTTGGAACGATAAGTTGTGTGAGCTTATCGACGTAGTGCAGCAAATTAAAACATATAACGCCTCCGCTTTTTCTGTTATCTTGTAGAAAAGGGCAAAGGCATTCCAGCCCTGAAAGTGGTAGCAGAGGGGGAGGAAGGTTTTCTCTGTGGGGGATAGATTAGGTGAGAAGGACGGGGCTTCACTTGGCACTCCGATTGGCGCCAGTTGCCGGATAAGAGAAATGACTGTCGTAATTTATTAAACTCGGCCAAAACCGTTTAGATGGTTACACCGTCAAACAAGGAGAACAAATATATGTAAGCATTTCAATGCTTACACTATCTTATGAATATAGGGGAAACGAAATTTTCAAAAGAATAATCACCTATTACATATTATAGAACAAATGTATGTAACACATAATTATATTGCGCATTTTTATAACCTGCTATTTAGTCAACATACCTGAATAATGTCTACATAGTCAATACCAAGTAATTTTAAACTCTTCTCCACACTTGCTCTGGTCTTTTTCGCTGAAAAATCAAACATTTTCCCAAAGTCTTTTTCATAACGTCCAACTTTTGTAGCTATATAGTATGCCTCTCTCGGCACGTCTTTTAAAGCCATGCCCAATACCTCCTCGGAACGTCCCTGCCCATAGTATGGTGCTGTATCAATGTAGTTAATACCTGACTTGAGTGCTTTGTGTATGGTTTTTATGGCCTCATCCACATCAAGTTCACTGCCGGTGAATGAGAGAAGCAATGCAAATAAATTAGATGGGTACATACATATGTAGGTACGTAAGTATAATAAACAAAATAAATTAAGAAATACAATTCAGGTGTACATACATATCGCCGTTTAAAGTACAAAACCGCGTATGCTAGGCTGCATACATTATTTTCTAGAGAGTAAAAACACTCATATTTCAAAATGGTTCTCTTTTTTTATAAAGTATTCGCATTTCTGGCTAGTATATTTCAGGACGAATGGATAAGGATTGAGCCAAGAGCTTGTGTGAGCAAATCCAATTTTTGGCAAAAAATGTCAGTTACGCGATTTTGCAGAACGATGATACGCGGTTTTGTAACGGCATACATATGTATGTATGTATGTACATACGGTATCGGTCATTTCAATAGCACCTCATTTGAAAGTGATATTGTTTGCCACTGATATTTATTAATTTATTTTTAAGAATTTTCAATTAAAATGCAGTTCATTCTATAAAGAGAACCCATATTAACCAAAGCTTAGAACTTTGTAGAAAACAAAAAAAAAAAAACAGTTCAACAAATTTTCATCCAAATTTCAAACTTTTTTCTTAGAAGTGTTAGAACTTGTTTGAGTATACCGTTTTACAGCCCATTAAATTTTGATGCAATAATGTGGAAGTTTTAAGTGGCTAATAGTTACCGTTTACTTTTCGCTAAAACAACCGCTTGACACACATGTTGGCTGATTTACAAAATTTTTTATTTCTTACAGTTATGTTCGCCTCAAACCATGTTGTAACACATGTTGTATCGTGTAAACCCCGCTGTTTGCTTCCATATAATGAATATGGAAGTAAACCGCACCACCTTCGGCAAAAAATTCTAAAAAATCAACGGTAATTATTAGCCACTTGAAACTTACACATTATTATACTAACCCTGGGATTCAGAAATTCAGTCTCATCTCAAGTCAATAAATTTGAGATTAGCAATTAGTGACTATTTTTGTGACTTGAGACGATTTGGGTATTCTGAAGGGGAGAGTCACAAAAAGTTCCCCAAAAATGTGTGGTGAAAGCAAACACAGACAGTCAACTGATAGTGTTTTGCCCGCGCTGCTCAGAGAGTCGCAATGGCCGAGTCGTCAAAGCACTAGGCTGGCAGCCGAGAGGGTCCGGGTTCAAGTCCTCCTCGGCCGCAGAGGATTTTTTTATTTTTATTTTTTTGTTAGTTTTATTTTTTTTCAATCTTTAGATTTTAATGTTTTAAAAACAAAAAAATTAAATTTTTTTTTTTTTGGTTTATTTCCTAATGAAATTCGCGTTTTTTTTTAATAAAATGGAAAGAAATAAGCTTTTCCTCCATACTTCTATTTTTGTGACCGGCTCTTAGCCAGCTGACAAATTAGTGACTTATTTTTGAGACTAGAGACGTGAGACAGCGTACTGAATACCAAATAGTCTCAAAATCCAAGTTCACCACCAAAAGTCACTATTAGTGACTAGAGACCGCTTACTGAATGCTAGGATTAGGCCCACTTGCAGGGCATCCAGAGTTAAATGTATAAATACAGAGTTTAGTAGCTCAGAGTTAAATTTTTATATTCCTAAACCCGACAATGTCATGCAGCATTGAAAACTGGCCCAGAGTTAAGTAACCCGAGGCATTTCCAAATTAAGTAGGCACCACTCTCTTTTTTTCACATTTGTTTTGGTTGTTTACATTTATTATTTGAAATTGAGTAGAATATTTCAAATACAAATAGAAAAACTAAATAAAATGCAATCTCGCTATGGTTAGATCAATACACATGCCCTTCCAAGCACATCAACTTTAAGAGGGATTTCTATTACTTGGCCGGAATGTACTCATTTATCAAATCCACGCAATGGTAGTAGAAAAGAACGTTGCTGTCATGAACATCGTCAGCTCATTACTCTGCAAATTGGCCAGCGCACGTTTTGGTGCATTTTAATCGCATATGCATATATTTCACGCGATAATGACCGAAACCTCAGATTTCAAGGCGGGAAAATTAATACGTGCATATGTACATATGTACATTGGGGTGGCCCAAAAATACAAAGGAAAATCAACTTTTTTAATTTTTCCTTCTGCCAACCCCCAGAACTGAAAACTTTCAAAAATAAGGAGATACATATTTTTTCATTTTGAAATCGGTTAATGTTTATTCTTGCTTTGAAGTTTCCCATGTACTAAGCAATCAAATCTTCCATTCACTGTTTAACCAGCTTCCCGATGAACTAGAGACTTGAAATTTCATACTTATCTCAGAATCCGATGACAATGCAATATCAAAAAGGAATCACTCCGCTAGGTGGCGCAGAAGTCGAGATATTTGGAAAATCCGTATTTATGGTCGGATTTGTTTCATATTTAGAACGTATATTACTTAAATGGAAAGAAATACGTGCACGAAAATTTTGCCGTTAGGTAGTGCGGGGTTCGATTTTTCAACTACTTTTTTTTAGTTTTCTACGAAGTTTTAAACGTGTGTTTATATAGGTTTTGTTAGAGAATGACTCGCATTTTAATTAAAAACTCTTAAGAGTAAATACTCCTCCTCCGATTTGTGGCGTGCGTCATGATGTTGTCACACAAAGGTGGCATACAATATCACTTTGAAATGGGGTACTATTGATATGACCGATACTGTATCTATTTACACACATACATATGTATTTACAGATCCGATCAACTAATTATGACCGAAATTCAAAATTATATTATTTGCATCTTATGGTTATTTATTTATTTTAAATAATTTTCATTTAAAATATAGATAATTCAATCTATAACAGAAACCATATTAAAGGTTTCAAAGCTTGCCCAAATTTCAAAAAATAAAAATAAAACTTAAAAAATTTCAAAATTGTTAATTGGAATACTTAGAAAATGTTCAGGTATGCAGTTTTGTAGCCCATTCAAGTTTTGTCTAATAAAGTGCAAGATTTTTTTCATATAAAAATAGATATTCTTCTAAATTTCTAAAAAACCAGCGTTAATTTTTAACGACTTGAAACTTGCACTTAAATTGAATGGGCTACAAAACTGCATACCCGAAAATCTTCTAAATATTCAAATTAAAAACTTTGAAATTTTGATGACAATTTTTTGAAGTTTGATTATATTTTTTGAAAATTGTGCAAGCTTTGAACTTTTATTAATGTGGTTTCTGCTACACTGTGGGACAGTAAATTTTACCCACAAAAAAATATATATATATGGGTAAATTATAGTAAATCTGCGTACTTAGCTTTACTCTCCTACGTCAGGATTTGTTTTCAAAAGGACTTTGAAATTTAAAAGGTATGATTATTTCAAAAATTATTTTAAAAATTCAGTGCAATGTAGGATAACAATAAGAATATCATATGAAAGAAAAAAATCTATAGAATTAGAATACATTTTTTGGTGCATAAGGACGAATGGGTATGGAAAACGTCCTTTATAAATTTTGTACTAAAATAACCTGGAAAGTTTGCAATATTTATTTCTGAAAAAATTATTGTTAGAGGACTAATATACACATGACCTCATCATAGAAAATCGTCCTGCAAACTTCATTAACTTAACGAGATAAAATTTATTAAAAGAGCATTTGCTATACCTATCCGTCCTTATAAACTAAAAAACTTTATTGTTTTTAAATTCTACAGAATTTTTGAAAATGATTAAAAATAAATCAATAAACATAAGTTGCAAACAATATCATTTTGAATTTCGGTACTAATTAGTTGATCGCAGCTGTATGTATGTACATACGTTTGCACGAATGCATAAGACCACCAAGTAAGCAACGAGGAGCGCAGATCTCATCATATATGCTTATCAGTACTCAATTGGAGCAAAGTGGAGGAAAAATACTTAAAGTAGAATGTACTTAATTAAAAACTACTAACCCGTAAAAATCACTCAATGTGCCGGTACCCAAGGACACTTTTGACACCTCCAAACCGGTAAGACCGTGTGTACGATATTCCATGCGCTTGCAGAGCTTTTCATCGTGGAAGTCTTTCACAAAAGTTGCGGGGAGCGAGGACATTGTCTTATTAACCAAAAGAATGTAAAACCAAATTCCTTCTTTTATTTTTGTGTTGATTTTGCTTTTGTGCGAAAAATACCGAGTAAAATGTTTTCACTAAAAATGTGCAATCTACAATAACAAATGATATGTACGTCCCTTTGCCACTGAAAGCACCGATAGACTGAGAACATGTGTTTTATGCACACATAACATATTCTTATTTATATATAGACATACATATATGAATGAGTGCAAATAAGCTAAATTAAGTAAAGCTGATGCCAGATAAAACTTTGTAGCTTTGCGTGACATTTATAACTTTGCCAGCAAAGCGCCAAACGCAAAAGGTATGCCACAATGAACGCCAAGAAAACAATTTTGTACCGCTTTTTTACTAGTCAAAGTTGCTGTGGATTTCATATATTTTGCTTTAAAATTATCAGCAATGTAATTAAGTTTTATGTTTCTGCATGAAAACTCGAATTTGGACGAAACAAAATAAATATTAAACTGGCTGATTGTCAAAGCGCGCAAAAAGATGGGAGTTGGCCATCTTTTCGCTTCGCGCTGCAGCTTCGACGATTTATGTGGCATGCTTTGTGCATTTTCATACAATTCATCTTATCTGTCAAAGCGAATCTGTCACGTAAAGCGAAGCAAAAGTTTTATGTGGCATCAGCTTTAGAGTGCAGCCCGCAATCTTCTAACTTTGGCTGAGAAACGATGGGCCAGTATTCAACGGAGTGCTCAGAATCAGTGTTGCCGCGAAACATTTTTAGTGGTAGCTAAATTCCAGCTAAAAAAGGGCTAAAAAAGAGCTAAAAATCGTCGTTGTGGCTAAAAATGGTAGCTAATTTTTTTTACCTACATCTTATATATAAAAATAAGTGCACGTTTTTGGTGTGACCTCATAACTTGAAAACAGCTTCACCGAATTCAACCAAATTTATGTGGCATATTCGATTTATCATGCAGATGGTTTATGTTAGAAAATGTTCAGGTATGCAGTTTTGTAGCCCATTCAAGTTTTGTCTAATAAAGTGCAAGATTTTTTTCATATAAAAATAGATATTCTTCTAAATTTCTAAAAAACCAGCGTTAATTTTTAACGACTTGAAACTTGCACTTAAATTGAATGGGCTACAAAACTGCATACCCGAAAATCTTCTAAATATTCAAATTAAAAACTTTGAAATTTTGATGACAATTTTTTGAAGTTTGATTATATTTTTTGAAAATTGTGCAAGCTTTGAACTTTTATTAATGTGGTTTCTGCTACACTGTGGGACAGTAAATTTTACCCACAAAAAAATATATATATATGGGTAAATTATAGTAAATCTGCGTACTTAGCTTTACTCTCCTACGTCAGGATTTGTTTTCAAAAGGACTTTGAAATTTAAAAGGTATGATTATTTCAAAAATTATTTTAAAAATTCAGTGCAATGTAGGATAACAATAAGAATATCATATGAAAGAAAAAAATCTATAGAATTAGAATACATTTTTTGGTGCATAAGGACGAATGGGTATGGAAAACGTCCTTTATAAATTTTGTACTAAAATAACCTGGAAAGTTTGCAATATTTATTTCTGAAAAAATTATTGTTAGAGGACTAATATACACATGACCTCATCATAGAAAATCGTCCTGCAAACTTCATTAACTTAACGAGATAAAATTTATTAAAAGAGCATTTGCTATACCTATCCGTCCTTATAAACTAAAAAACTTTATTGTTTTTAAATTCTACAGAATTTTTGAAAATGATTAAAAATAAATCAATAAACATAAGTTGCAAACAATATCATTTTGAATTTCGGTACTAATTAGTTGATCGCAGCTGTATGTATGTACATACGTTTGCACGAATGCATAAGACCACCAAGTAAGCAACGAGGAGCGCAGATCTCATCATATATGCTTATCAGTACTCAATTGGAGCAAAGTGGAGGAAAAATACTTAAAGTAGAATGTACTTAATTAAAAACTACTAACCCGTAAAAATCACTCAATGTGCCGGTACCCAAGGACACTTTTGACACCTCCAAACCGGTAAGACCGTGTGTACGATATTCCATGCGCTTGCAGAGCTTTTCATCGTGGAAGTCTTTCACAAAAGTTGCGGGGAGCGAGGACATTGTCTTATTAACCAAAAGAATGTAAAACCAAATTCCTTCTTTTATTTTTGTGTTGATTTTGCTTTTGTGCGAAAAATACCGAGTAAAATGTTTTCACTAAAAATGTGCAATCTACAATAACAAATGATATGTACGTCCCTTTGCCACTGAAAGCACCGATAGACTGAGAACATGTGTTTTATGCACACATAACATATTCTTATTTATATATAGACATACATATATGAATGAGTGCAAATAAGCTAAATTAAGTAAAGCTGATGCCAGATAAAACTTTGTAGCTTTGCGTGACATTTATAACTTTGCCAGCAAAGCGCCAAACGCAAAAGGTATGCCACAATGAACGCCAAGAAAACAATTTTGTACCGCTTTTTTACTAGTCAAAGTTGCTGTGGATTTCATATATTTTGCTTTAAAATTATCAGCAATGTAATTAAGTTTTATGTTTCTGCATGAAAACTCGAATTTGGACGAAACAAAATAAATATTAAACTGGCTGATTGTCAAAGCGCGCAAAAAGATGGGAGTTGGCCATCTTTTCGCTTCGCGCTGCAGCTTCGACGATTTATGTGGCATGCTTTGTGCATTTTCATACAATTCATCTTATCTGTCAAAGCGAATCTGTCACGTAAAGCGAAGCAAAAGTTTTATGTGGCATCAGCTTTAGAGTGCAGCCCGCAATCTTCTAACTTTGGCTGAGAAACGATGGGCCAGTATTCAACGGAGTGCTCAGAATCAGTGTTGCCGCGAAACATTTTTAGTGGTAGCTAAATTCCAGCTAAAAAAGGGCTAAAAAAGAGCTAAAAATCGTCGTTGTGGCTAAAAATGGTAGCTAATTTTTTTTACCTACATCTTATATATAAAAATAAGTGCACGTTTTTGGTGTGACCTCATAACTTGAAAACAGCTTCACCGAATTCAACCAAATTTATGTGGCATATTCGATTCATCATGCAGATGGTTTATGCGAAGTTTTCCCGAATTCGGAAGAGGGGACGTGGCACCACCCATACTAACTAAAATATAAAAATAAGTGAACGTTTTTGGTGTGACAATATAACTTAAGAACGGATTCACCGAATTCAACCAAATTTATGCGGCATATTCGGGCCATCATGCAGATATTTTATGTGGAGTTTTCCCAAATTTGGAAAAGGGGCGTGGCATATGTATGTATCTTATGTATACAAATAAGTACACGTTTTTGGTGTGAGCTTCACCGAATTCAACCAAATTTATACGGCATATTCAGGCTATCATGCAGATGGTTTATGTGAAGTTTGCCCGAATTCGTAAAAGGGGGTGTGGCACCTTCCATACTAACTAAAATTTTTTTGTTGTATATCTCTTGAAATATTTGTGGTAGAGTACTGGAAGTTGGTATAGAGGTATAACAAATAATTCCATACTCATGGATAAAAATGGGCAGTATTGGAAAAGAGGGCGTGGCACCTTACATCTTATATATAAAGAATAAGTGCAAGATTTCAACCAAATTTATACGGCATAGTCGGGCTATTATGCAGATGGTTTGTGTTAAGTTTCCCCGAATTCGGAAAAGGGGGCGTGGCACCACCCATACTAACAAAAATTTTCATCTGGTATATCTCTTGAAATATTTGTGGTAGATTACTGGAATTGGTAGCTATACGTGGCCTGTTCAAGAGTTGGCATTCCAAATTGTTTATTTATTCATTCCCAAGATGGAAAAACAAAAAATGTTGTATATCCAAATCTGTTGGATTAAGATTTAAAATAAAGAATCAAAAATTTTGAAATAAAACAAATGATAAATTTTCATATAGAAAAATTCCAGGACTTTTCATTCGTTTTTCAATATTTGGTGTAGAGAAGCACACCGGGGTACTGCTAGTATAAATATGTAAGTATACACGCAAACATTTTC